GTGGGCGGGCCCTGCTTCTCCACCACCATCCTGGGTCCTGCTGGGAGGACGCAGCGGAGATGCTGGGCTTGTGCGAAAAACTTGCATATACTCAAATGAGTGGATGGTAATCTTTAAAAATTCATTTTTGCTTTGTAATTACTTAAACTACACCGCTGATATTTATAAAGAGAAGAAAATGTGGGCAGTCGTGCACAGGATCAGGACTGAGGCGGCTGTAATGTCCTCTCAGTGCCCGCGGGGCAGGCGCCCCCAGCCCTGAGCCCGTGCTTCCCGTTTCAGAAACGAGAACTGCAACGAGAACTACACCACCGACTTCATCTACCAGCTCTACTCAGAGGAGGGCAAAGGGGTGTTCGACTGTAGGAAGAACGTGCTGGGCCACATGCAGCAGGTAGGGCCGGCACTCCATCCCTCACGAATGGCCCCAGTCCCGCAAAACAGCAAGGGGAGCTGTTAGTCATGTGACTTCCTTTTAGATGGATGATTAAAAACATCTGAACTATGTTCCAGTTCCAGTTAGAAGTCATACCAGATATCACCAGCTTTAGGAATTCCGTTGTGAAATTTGGGTAGATGGTCATCTTAAGGAAATGGTCAACTTTCATATAGGAATATCAATTAACTGGAAAACCTTATTCAAAGTGTCTCATTCAATATTGGGCAAAAATAAGCATCCAAATAGGAACATCAGACAAGTGATACTTATTTGAGATTTGCATGGAATCAGAGCAAGGTGGAAAGAACCCGGGGCGCGCTCTGTAAGTGCCCCGGATGACAAGCAGGGTGGGTTGGAAGCACAGGCCCCGCCTCCTGACCGCACTCCTGTCCTTGTCCCATCACCATTGACCCCTCCTGTGTCCTAGGAACTTCTAACTTTGGGCCCATTGTTCACATCCGTGGGTCCCTGAATCTCCTGAATCTATGACGCAATGCTAGGCAGGTGTGTATTTTGTGAAAGGAAAGTGGGACCCCCTTCCCCATCCCAAAATAAGGTTAAGGAATCCTGAAAGAATATTTAAAATGATGCCGACCCGAAGGTGACAAAAGCGCTGTGGTACTTACCTCACAGGCTCAGCCTCGTGGGCAGCAGTCACGGGCTTGCTTTTGTCTGGTCCCAACTATGCACAAGGAGGTAAAATTTAACAAAACAAACCTTCAAAGCCCATATTTACAAACGTGATGTGAACTTTGTTGAATAGTAATTTATTTTATTTCTACTTCATTTTTTAAAGTAAACAGCCAGGAAGGTGTGGTTGTTTAATTAACATGTAACTAACCACCCACAGGGAGGAGCGCCTTCCCCATTTGACAGAAACTTTGGAACCAAAATCTCCGCCCGGGCCATGCAGTGGATCACGGGGAAGCTGAAGGAGGCGCAAGGAAAAGGTGCCGAGAGGCGGGGTGGCCTGTGCACATGATGCTTTCACTCTTACCAGACTCCATGGTTGCTAGATACGACATTCACGGTTGGATGGATACGAAATGCTTTATTCCCGCTGATTAGAGATGGGAGGCATCGGTCATCAGTGACACTCTTCTTAGTAAAATTGCTGTTCACATGTGGGCTCCTCTGCAAGACCCTACGATGTGATCTCTCCTTGTTTTCTCCCTTTGCCACCTGGACCACTTTGGACTGGCCCTGAAGATACTTTCAGATTTTCTCCTTGACTCATTCACGACTCCTTTTTAGAGCAGGCAAGGAAGGAGCAGAGGTATCCAGACTGTTTTCCCCTCCACCTAAGTGTGTGCCGCTCCCATACTCCACCCTCCCCGCCCCTCAGCATAACGTCGGATGTGTAACCATCCCGCCACTTCCTTCAGAGTTCACTGTCTGATCAAACCTTCCAGGGTGTTATTAGTCCCACTTTGAGTAGGGAATGCCTTCAATACTTTGGGACTACAAATTCTTAGTAACATTTAACTGAAGTCATTCATTCTTCCTGCTATTTATCGCTTGCTCTTGGATACTCTGTTCACTACATACTTTTCAATCATGAAAGGATCTTACACACTTTTTGCATCATATGGCATGGTCATTTAAGTCTTAAATGCATTTCCTAGTGTTAAGCCCACTTTGCCTTCCTGGGGAACAACCCCCCAACCCCAGCTGGTCTGGGTTTTTGCTTCGGCCATTTCCTGCTCATCCTGTCCGTCAGGTGCTAGGTCAGGCTTGTCCTAACTTTCTCAGTCGGGGCGTTCCTCCCAGAAATAATTTGTAAGATGTTTTCATTTTTTGATGTTAATAAACTCCAGACGCCTCCATCAAAGGTTCTGTAGCTTTCTCTGTAGGACAGGGGAGGCTGACCTGCTCAATTTCTTTACTGTTTATAGAATTATCTGTGTTTCTTTTTTGTTTGCTCATTTTTGTCGGTCTTTTTTTCATGTTTGTTTCTTGCATCCCTTTTGTAAGTTACGTCCTCTAGGAACTTTTCAAGTTCATCTAAATTTTCAAAAACTTTGCCATGAAGATTTTCATCATGTCCTCTTTTGTTTTTGATGCTTGTAGCCCTTCTGGTCCCATCACTGCAGGATTAGTTATTGTGCTGGTACCTGTAAGTCCCTCCCCTCCGTTTTCTTGACCAATCTTCCCAGATCTGTGTGTTTATGTGTATTTCCAGTGTTTGACTTATGCAAACACAGAGATGTAAAGTTTCAAACTAAATTCAGTCTTCCAAGAACTGGCTTTGATTTTTTTTTTCTACTAATATTTTTTACATTAACTTCTACTTTTATATTTCATCCCATAAAAATAAACCTGGATTTATTTTCTTCTTTTCACTGTCATCTAAGGAAGCTTACCTCACTAATTCCCAGCTGCTCACAGTACGTGCAGTCATGAGTGTACTTTCTTACTAGCATGGACCTGAACTCCTGCTGCAGTTTAAGCCAATCTTCCCAGCCCAGTACTTGGTGAGCTATGCATTCACCCCTTACTCCCCATGGGGTGTCTCACTGCCAAGCACAGCGAACAGCTCCTCTCAGGGCTAATGTGGAGCAAGGGTGCCCCATCATCTCTGCCTCTTTCCCCGAATCTTGACGGGGACTCACAGGGTGTTCTCCGCCCACCTCGTCACAGCCCCAGGGATCCTGGGAGTCTGGCTTCTGCCCAGGGAGGATGTGAGAAGTCCCAATTCTTCAATCTCCTCACAGGATTCTGCTCCCTCCTGTCAGCAAACCTTCTCTGGCCACTTTGCTGGCCTCACTGGCCATTTCACCTGACCTTCCCACACAACCAAGCAGCCATTCTCAGGTCACTTTCTGTCCTTTATAGGAAGAAAGTTTGTAAACGATGATTCCGTCTGTGTGCTGGGAATATGCCAAAGAAACCTTCTTTTCCAGCCTGTGGCAGAGCTGAAGGAGAAGACAGACTTTGAGTAAGTAAACCTTACTGCAGGTAGAAGGAATGGGGACAAGAGTCAAGGACAGAGGGACGCCACCGTCACAGTCCCTGTTCTCACCCCTGCCCCTCTCATCCGCAGGCACAGAATTCCCAAAGAGCAGTGGTGGCTGAAGCTGCGGCCCCTCATGAAGATCCTGGCCAAGTACAAGGCCAGCTATGAGGTCTCTGACATGAGCCAGTTGGAGCACGTTCACACCGGCCCCGAGGAGCCTGCAGCCATCTAGGCGCCACTGCCCGCCAGCGATTCCTCGGACTTCCTGTTTACCGCCCATTTTTGTAACACGTATGTTATTTATCAGCACTTTATGTGAGTACTGTGGACGTTAATCCCCAATCACACAGCACCGCCCTGTACCCTTCACATCCCCATTGGATCCTAAGCCTCCAGTGAGTTGTCTGCTGTGTCACACGCTGTCTCCTGCTTTACCATATGCATTCCCAGTGGAATTAAACATTTGGCTAAAACTCAGACCACGGTACTAAGTGCCTTTGATTTTTTTCAGTAGGCATTTAAACCTCAGGATCTGGGGGCAGCTACCAAAGGTTGGCAGGCAGTTTCGTGGGCAGATACTATTCATGTATTTTTATAGGGATCAGTGAAGTAGGCTGCACGAAGCAGTCACAAAGGGAAAGGCAATGCTGTGACACACAGACCTGGTACATGGCAGGTGAGCAGAGAAGGCCCAGACCAGGACCCCAGGGGAGGTGACCAACTCCGGCCACACGGGCTCCTTTAAAAACACCACGAACATGTGCGTCGGGAAGAAGGTGAGCTTCCACACTCGACCTCAGTCCTAGCTGTGCACTGAGGAGGGTAAGACATGTCACCTAGTGTCTGGAGGGAAAAGCATTTCTGCCTCTTCTCCAGCCTCTGCTCTCGTCTGGGGTGAGAGGAACCAGCCTGCCCACCAGCCGTGGGGGAAGGAGTCGTGCACAGCAGAGAAGGCGGATGATGAGAAATACGGGAAGACCACGCAAAAGAGCCAGTGTCCCAATAAAGCGAGTCACACAAATTCTGGGCTCCCCAGTGCACGTAAAAGTTATGTTTACACTACACTGTAGTCTACTAGGTGTGCGAGAGCAGTGTGTCTAACTAAATGTACAAACCTTAACTAAAAAATACTTGATTGCTTAAAAATGCTAAGGATCATCCAAGCCCGCTGGAAAGGGCGTGGACAGCCCTGCTGGGCGCAGTGGCCACTGAACTCGTCTGTGGAACGCGCAGCACAGCAACTGCGCAACACAGAAGGCGCTCTGCCGGTGGCCGAGTTTAGGATGTGAGGATAAAATGAGAAGTTCACTTTCTGTCTGAAAAAAGTAAAGTGAGCAACAGATGAGACAGAGCCCTTCAGTAAAGACAAAATGGGAACAAGTTAATGCTTATTAACACCAAACACACCAGCTCTCGAAAGGGATCCCATCAGGCTGCCTTGCTGAGGGTGTGTCTGTCCAGAATTTCCCCCAGGTCCTTGGTGTGACCACACTTTTTTATAAACGATGTTGGCATACCTTTGTTCACTTATTCATTTCACTCATTTTTTTATTAGAGGTCCTAAGAACGACTTAGCAAAATGTCATTTAAAATGACTAAAGCACAGGTAGGTCAGAGTTGCCTTTTATTTTAAGTATTTAAATAAATGTTCTATCATTATCAGAAAGTCTTACAACAGTTGTGCATCTCTGGCATTTAATACATGATTATTTCCATTTCTTCACGATCACCCACTTCTTTAAGATAGAAGAGTTTGGGGATGACCTGACAGGCAAGTACATACATACCTTTGGCAAAATTTTAAGATTAATAAATGAGGAAGATATTTGGGAAAAACCTTCCAAATTAAACTTGTCTCGGCTTGCTTCTCTGGGGCCTGTGAGCCGCGTTAGCCGTGTCCCGAGCACAGCCGCAGCTCCTTGTCATCTGATGATCCAGGACGGGTCCTTGGCGATCTTCGTGTTCTCTGGTCCCAGCAGAGCCAGCCCGTGGGTGCTCCTCCCGACACCGAGGTACCTGAAAAGGTGGGGGTCAGGACTGTTTCCACATCAGCCGCCCGCAGGTTCACACTTCAGGCCACGTGACCGTACTCACTTGTTGCTCACGTCAATGAGACCTTCTCGGTGGACGGCAAAGAGCTGTTCCCTGTGCGCTTGCTTCAGCTCATCTGAGAGGCCGTATAGGAAGTGGTCCAGCCCTGAAGGAACACAGGTGACTGGGGAAGCTGGCAGGGACAGCATGCAGCGGCTGACCGTTCCACAGACCCTGCTCCTAGGTGGCTGACCCTGACCCAGGCCCTTTGGGGAAGAGGATGGAGATGAGTGAGGGCCGAGTCAGGATGGTCTCTGCCCCTGCCCAGGGCACTGGCAGTCACTGAAGCTCTGAGATGGTGAAATGCGACCCCTTTCAAGCAGCCAACCGAGATGCTCATTCTCAAGGTGGACACTGGCGTGTCACAAAGGAGGCGGCGGCGGGAGGTGAGGTGAGATGGGTACTCATCTCGGGAACTCAGCCTGGAGTTGTCTGGTCGCACCATCCATCCAGGTGCTTGTGTTTTCTACTCCACGTACCTTTGTCCGAAGGAGCCACAGGAGCGTCCACAGCAGAGAATACGGAGAGCTTGGCCTCGTCAATGTCCTGCTGTGAGAACTTCCCAGACTTGGCCCAGTCCACAGCCTTCGCAAAAGACTGGAGTGTTTCTGTGGAACGTGGATCCCTGGGAGACCCGAAGAGTTAGTTACTCACATTTACCACAAAAAAATAAGCAATAATCACATGCTGACTTCACAGCTTCAACACTTTATAGCTATTAACTTTATGCTTAGTCCAAAAATCAACACTCTGGAAATTTAAACCTGGCCACAGGCCGTCTGACCCTCTCCCTGCCCTTGAAGATGGGGTTTGTTCACCCAGCCTCACACCAGGTTATTAAATGCACCCACTGCGACTTCCTTGGGAGGAAACATCGGACTGAATGAAAGACTCATGGAGAAACACTAAGAAAGGTTAAATGAAAACGCTCCTTTCCAAAGGACGCACTCAGAATAGTTGAATCACCCAATCTGGGCCAATCCTGGAGCCCCAGCACCGTCTCAGTGGAAAGGGCTGCAGAGGCCTTTGCCCAATACTGCAGACTACAGGGGCCAGGAGACGGGGGCCTTAGGTGGTGGTTTCTGTGCTGCAGCTCCCAGCCCGGCCACTAGGAAATGTTCAGAAGTTGCAGCAGTAGGGGGTAAAGAGTAGTGCCTCAGAGGCACAAAGAGTCCTTTCCCTAGAATATTAGGATGCGTATCTTCAGGCAGAGAAAGTTAAATGGGCAAAAGCAGTCAGTGGAGCCAGGAGCCCAGCCTCTACAATTCCATCAGCCAGAACACTGCTCAGTTCACCTTCTACTGAAATATGCTTGTCACCAAAGTGCCAGGATTCATTTAAGGCACAAAGTTTCCTGTTCCTTCCTGCTGTCCCTAAAACCGAAAGGACAGTGCTGGGTGTGGTTAAATGCCGAAGAGGTGGGGAAAGTGGGAACAATTGTTTCTCATGCTCACCCCACTGTCTGAGGTATGATATTGATGATTTTGAGCCAGTGACTGTCAGTGACATGACATTGTGTCCACATGTATGAGATGGTCAGAGAAAAGCTCACCTATATGAATAAAAGGTGAATATTCCATTATGACTGAGTTTAGCGCCTCCACCGTAGGCACCACCTTTTTCTCGAATTTCTGTGTGCAAGAATTTAGCAGTCATCAAACGTGCCAGGATCTTCAGACTGAAATAAATGATTAAGAATGCAAATTAAAAACATGGCTGGCAAGGAAGTAATTTTTAAAAATGTCAAGTGTATAATTAGGTGAAGACAAAAATAAAGCAGTGGCTTAAATGACGGGTGGTAGTGGACACACCTTCCCACACACTTCTAGCTCCCTCTTAACCTCTTCCCACCCACAGGGAGCATGTTAAAGCTGCAGCCACAACTCGGACCCCCACATCAGTGTGAGTGTGTGCACGTGCACATGGAAGGCTCTTGACTAACTTTCCACAGGCATCCTCCCTAGGGTTTCCCTTGGTTGGAGTGTGCGTTTTCTATGTTCCCACTAGCTTCCAGTATGAATGCTAATAGCTGATGCCCTGGAAGGAAAAGGATGGTCTGGAAAGCACCTTCCCAGGGCACAGTGAGCGGGGCCACACCCGTGACTGCCATCCGCATGAGTCCAGGCGGCCCTGCTCTGTGTGAGCACTCGGCCCAGCAGGGGACACAGCCTGGTGAGAAGCTGAAGGGAGAAGCATGTTCCTAAAGACGGGGCAGGGTGGCTGTGCCGCCCTCACGGGCGGGCTCCACTCTGCCCACAGGGGTTTGCCCTCCACGTGTTTTTCTCTAGAAACTTCTATTACTTCTATGTTACCTAATGAACACACATTCACTATTGGAAAATTATAAAATACAAAAAGAGGCAAAAGAGATCAATAATCCCACTACCCACAGATACCTCTTGTAACATTTTCATGGTCTCACTACATCTTTCTAGTCATCGAAATGCACATTCCCACCCTGATGGCCTAGCATACAGAGCATGCCCCTTTCCTACAGATACGGAAATAAACGGACAGAAACGCTGAGCAATGTGACTCATTTTCTCTGTGCACTTCTGGAGCCGGGGCAGCCGCATGTTTCTGAGTCTCTCGGACCCACCACGTTTCCCTCCCCGACTCTCCTCCTTGGAGTCGTGGTTTCCTTGCCCTCCTCGTTTGTACCTGGCATGGTCAGGGTGTGTGTAGGGGGCAGTTCTGACACATTCACCGACGTAGTTCACGGGGAATGGAAGCAGGAAGTGTGTCTTCATCTGGCAGGGCGTGAAAGTGGGCTCCTGCGGAGGGAAGGGAAGGCCCGGTCAGGCTGTGTCATGGGGAGTGGCCCACGGGTGCTTCCCGTACAGGTGCCACCTGGACTTCTGAATGTCCTACTTCCTGTGGGCATCACCAGCCACGGTCTCATCTGAGAGCAAGGCACTGACGATCACAACACGCCACACAGCCACAATGAAACAGCTCGTTCTACGTCATTTCTGTCGGTCACTGACTGTGCGAGCTTTCCTTTCCTTTCCATTTCTCTCCAGGAACAGTCAGTTGCCCTCTCTGTGATGAGCCAAACCCAATGCCCAGATCACCAAGCTGTGTGTGTGGGCAGGACAACACTGCCCAGTTGGTGAATTAACACTGACTCGGCAGTCAAGTTAAAATAGAGGCATGGTGATGAGACCATGTGGAGGCACAGAGGTCTTCATGGGCACCAGGACGAGAGACAGGACTCCCTGGTTCTGCGTGCCAGCAGTGAGGCATTGACTGGCAACCTGGAATGGGCCACCAGCCTATCCAGAGTCGAACTGGGCCGGCTGGTTCTGAAATGACAGGGCTGTGTTCACTTACTGTGATCAGCTTTCTGACGACTTGGCATCCACTAACATGTGCACTTCCTCCACATCCGTTAGGCACAGCTTTCTGAAAATGTTTCCAAGAGAAATGAGAAAAATCCTAAATTCACTTCAAATAGCTAAGATGATATATTCCAGAAAACTCACAGAGCTAATAACAAGTGTTAGGGCGCATTTGCTTTGGTGTTTTAACTACATAGATTTCTATGGATTTTCAAATGGTCTGGGAGCTGAGGCACCACACCCCTTCAGCTGGGACTCTGAGAGGCAGGGGGGCAGGTCCATTTGGGGATGAGGATCACATGGACATAACCAAGGGGAAAGCGAAAGTTCATCCTCTGTAGAATGTGCATATTGTCAGCCTTGTGCGTGAGGAGTGAGGCTTCTCTGCTGACCCAGGTGAGTGAGATCAGAGCCACTCTGGAAGTTAATCACATGCCTAGCGCTTACTAGATGTGATTATCTGCAGTGGTTCTCAACCTGTGGGTCGAGACCCCTTTGGCGATCGAACTACCCTTTCACAGGGGTCGCCTAAGACCATCCTGCATATCAGATATTTACATTACGATTCATAATAGTAGCAACATTACAGTTATGAAGTAGCAACGAAAATAATTTTATGGTTGGGTCACAACATGAGGAACTGTATTTAAAGGGCCAGAAGGTTGAGAACCACTGAGCGACAGCCTACAGTGCATTGCTGAGTCGGGGGAAAGCCTCTAGCTGCAGCCGGACGGGCCTCCTCAGGGCACCATTTTTGGCTGTTCTTACAAGAGCATATTTCAGAGCCCAGTGTCCTGCCTCATCAGGAGAGTGTGCCCAAGCGCTCCAGGGACAACAGAAGCACAGGGCACAAGGCCAAATTAGAGGGTTTGAACTCACTTCTAACTGGGTCAGCCCTGGGCCGCACCCAACCTGGTCTCATCAGCACGCGCCCTTCCCTGGGAGGGCTCTCACCTCCACCACGTGCGGGCGCACCGGCTTCCGCTCCTTCTTGCTTCGCCCCACGCTTCTGAGGAAGTCTCCCACTGCTCGTTCCGTCTGAGACAGCTGCTGCGGGGTCGCATTCACTGCACATCTGTTTAAAAAATCACGTATGAACAGGAAACCCTTACTACATCTAGTATAAATAACAATAAAAAGGAGATAGTATATTGTTTTTGTATAAAATAATGCTCAAAAATATTAAAAAGAAACAGTAGCCAAATATGTAAATATCACAGTTTGCTACTTCACCACAATGCTTTCAAGTAATCAGAAAGCCTGTCTTATCTTTCAATGGCTTACAGCTAATACAGTTGTCAAGATGAAAGACAGCGTTTCTGACTCCAAATATTGTTTCCCTGAAGCTGCCAACACCTTCACACTTACACTGTCATAGACTGGAAACTGCAATTTCTGTCTAGAAGGGAAGTCAACAGTTTGCAGGTGTAAACTGGTCATTAAACTAGGAAATTGTAAGTTGCCACCTATTCTCTCAAAAATGTATTTTTATATAACCCTTCCAAATTCTACAGAATCACAGATAATACTATGAGTTATTGGAACTATACAGTAAATTGACAGTGTATTTTTCTTCTTTTGGCCCTGAATCCTAAATTTATTTCAGTTAAATTACACACCATTATAGTAATTAACTATATTCCAGGCACTATACTGACTGCAATGCATTCTTTTCTTTTTTGCCATAAATCTTCAAAGTATTGTTTTATGGAGGAGGAAACAGAAGGTCCAAGTGGTTAGCTGCCTAAGGCACTATGGGTACAAGTGTCCGTTCTGGCCCGAAACTGGCAGTCAGTTCTGCCCAGGGCAGGCCCCTCACCAAGCTTAGGCTCCCCTCCTGCCACCCAGATGGTCTGGGGAAACCTGCTGGCGAGTCCAAGAAACTGACGGGGAAGGTCCTGGAACTCTCCATGTAGAGCTACAATCTAACCTAAATCTGTGTCACTGATAACACAACATGTCAATCATTTTTACATTCTGCTCACGCTCACAAACCTGTGAGCTTCAGGCCAACTGTATGTGGACAGCTCTGCTACTAGGTGTTTTCCTAAACTATCGTGTCATAATTAATCTCACAAGAACTTTGCATTTTTACTCTGGTCTTGAGCAAGCTAACTGCACTGGGTCTCACGGACGGCTCATTTACAGAACACGTGCTGTTTACTTTTAGGAGCAATATGACTAAATATTTGCAGTAAATCCACCTCACAGTTCTAGGATGAAATTTTCCCATATGAAATTTCTTCATTAGAACACTGAAGTCTAGAATCAATTCTATAACCTACACCTTCACTTGAAGAGCATCTCCACGCTACACTCAATGAAACTGGATGCATCATTACTATCTTTGCTCAGAACAAACCACAAACCCCTACCTCATATTGTTGCAGTTTAATAAATGCTTCTTGATGCGCGGGAGCTTTCTCAGGATGGGGCTGATGTCTGTCATTTCTGCGATTCTCTTCATCAACCTCACCTAAGCCAAAGGAACCAGCACATAGAGCAGACACCCCGAGCAGAGCAGGGAGCTACTGGGGCAGAGCAGGGACCAGACACTCCTCCCTAGTCTGGAAACCAGACAGATGCCCCGATAGGGGAACCATGGTGCTGTGACTGTGCCAGATGCACCTGCCTGCCTTGGGGACACATTTCTGCGATTCTCTTCATCAACCTCACCTAAGCCAAAGGAACCAGCACATAGAGCAGACACCCCGAGCAGAGCAGGGAGCTACTGGGGCAGAGCAGGGACCAGACACTCCTCCCTAGTCTGGAAACCAGACAGATGCCCCGATAGGGGAACCATGGTGCTGTGACTGTGCCAGATGCACCTGCCTGCCTTGGGGAGGGGTGGGAATGGGGGGAAGAGACGGGAGGGTAGTTCCTCATGAAATTTGGTCAGTTAGAGAGTTAGCTTTTCTGAGATATAAATAATTTAGTACCAGGTAATTTTATTAACTCTGCAAGACCTGGCTAACCCGGAATACCCAATGGTCCCCTCTGCATATCACCTGGTCCATCCCATTGAAGGTCTCCTGCAGGTCCCCCGCGGGCGTCAGGGTCCTGCTGGCTCTGATGGATGCATAGAGGTGCCCCGAGTCTGGAACTCCGTTGGACAGCTCTTGAGCAGTCATCTTAACCAACACTTTGAAGTGTTCTTCTTCCTCAAAGCATGGGCTATGGACAGGAAGAGTATGCTAAGTTTCTGGAGCCCCCTCAGTTCCCATTTAATAGCATGGAGAATGTGTAAGTTTTCAGACAATGTACACATCCTGAGAAATTTTACAAGTCCATAGAAATTACAAGTGGAATTAGGCTCTGAAATCAAGCCACCAGAGAGTAAAACCTCCCTTTAGCACACTTCAGACCAGCCCTGTGATACGGCCACAGCATTAACATATCTGCAAATCAAGTTACCTGTTAAATATTTCACTCCACAGGTGCATCATGTCTGGTAGGTTTCTCTCGAGGCAGAAAGATGAAAAAAATACACCCTAAATCAGGAAAGAAAAGAAAATAAATTATTTAAAAGAAAAAAAATAGACACCAGAGAAACCAACCTTTGAACACCCTGTGATGGAGAAACAAATGTTACCTGCTCGTAGGTGTCCAGGTGGGAGTCGTCGGGGAGCACGTGGGGAGACGCGGTCATCCCACCCGTCTTCAGCTCTATCTGCTGAGCCTGCTCCCTGTAGTCGAGGACTCCACAGCCCAGCCTGTGAACAGCAGGGAGTTCCCTAATCACCAATGTGATCTCGGCCCCATCACCTTGAATTACAAGCTCGGCTCAATCCAAGAACCACGCCTGTACAAACTTCTTACACCTCAAATGTACATGCAGGCTGAGTCGTCACGGGCCCTCTCCCCAGGAGAAACCGGGTCTCCTGTTCAGGGGGTCACTCAGCACTGTCCAGTCCACCAGACACCCGCTATCCAGCACTAACGTAAAATGCTGAGCTGCGCTCCCAGTGCTAGGCTTTCAAATGGTCACTGTGTCTTCCCTACTCTGTTCTTCCAAAACATCCGACAGACTATCTGTTCAAATATTTGGTAGTGTTGGGGGTGTAATTTAAAAACTAAGCTTTTTTGCATTTTTAAGAAAAGCTGAAGTCATCACTACACTGATGTTGCTTTTGGTAGAAACATTCTAACTGCTGTTCCTACTGAGAGAAGTAATTTAAGCCAAGCGACACTGTGAGGTTTTATTAAAATGACCACAGTCATAAAAGGACAAAGAGATGGAACCATATTTTTTTAAAGGGCAGGGAACTGTGCAGTCACTCTGCAGTGCATTTAGCTCCTGTGCATATAGGACACAGGGCCCAGCCATTTACTGCGGTGATTTCCCTTCGAAGCCTCTATGTACCTGGATTATAGGAAGGGAATCCAGCTGACAGCTCCCATCACCTCCCGCTCAGCCTGCCCCCCTCAACCTCCGAGAGCCAGCAGAGGAACAGGGACACAGGACAGACATGCAGCAGTGCTATGCCCATCTGTGCTCTCAAATCTGCTCAGGCATCTGCTCACCCAGGATGACAGGACCACAAAACCAGCGCAGACAAGGGCATACGGCATGGCGGCTCAAGGACATCCCAGGCCCACATGTCAGACTTAATTACTTACATTTTCTGATGCAAAACCATCATTCTTTTCACAATCTTAAAGAGCTTAGTTGCTGAGGTAGATATTTTGAAAATTTCACTTATACCCAAGGCTTATAAATATTTAGTGTGCTATATCTTAGTAAGGAAATGTGATTTTCATAAGAAAAATCTCAACAAATATTGTACCCTTTATATACTGTAACAATGCTATGGATTATGAAAAACAAATGATTCACTAAAAAGTAGATTATGAATGCACTGAAACAAAAGGAACACAGAGAATATCCACCAATGAAATATACAAGCGTGTGCTGAGTGTGCAAACGTGTCTTACTTAGTGAGGACGCTGCAGAAGAGCGGCACGTAGGGCCGGAGCTCCTCGGGCAGGGTGTTGAGGCTGGAGAAGGCCCGGAAGTAGACCACGCCATTGGTGGGCTGGGCGCAGTATTGCACAGGGACGTCTCCAGCTGGAGAAAGAGGCGTTAAACTTCCAAATTTTCACCATTACACTTGCAATCATGCAGTCAGTTATTTTTTAAATGGTCGTGCTGTTCAAGGGTGGAGGTTTAAAATTTATATCAGCAAAGAAATACTACTCATTTGCTGTAATTTAGACAAATTTCCCTATTGTACTTTTATATGGTAAAATTTAAACCGTCTTTAATACTAAAGAGCTCCTTGCTTTTTGAAGAATCAGGAGAGAGAAGCAGTGTGCTTCGGGTCAACAAATGCCCTGGCATTCAAGCTGGACCCTGCTGGCCTCTGTGCGCCTCACCTCCTTACTCAGAGTGGATTGTCATTCCTGCAACACAGACCCCACTCTTCACCCAGCCCAGATGCCTCTCATCCTAACAAGTCCCTCCCCAGGACCTGATGGCCCCACCATGAAGCCCCCGGCACCCCCGGTCCCAAGTTCCCCAGGGGGACGTTCTGTGTTCTCTTTCCACATCCCTAGCACAGTGCCCTAAATCAGCAGGGGAACTAAGGTACTCACTGGTGACTGACCTATCCCCACCAATTCTGATAATAATCACTTAATGACTTTCAGTGACAAACACAAACTGTGGGGGATTAGATCAGTGGGATGTTAACCCGCTTTCCAGAAGACAGGATCTCCTTTGCATGTGCACGCACATGCACACGAAAACTCAGACGTGGTAAACAGGACAGGCCCCGTTACAAACAGAGGGCCAGTGACAGATGCTTCACAGAAGTCAACGTGATGCTCAAACACGCTCGACACTCCTACACTGGCGGAGACAAGTCAAAGTGCAAGGCTGCCGTCCGAATTCCCTCAGGACAGAGCAATGAAGTCATGTCTTGCCACGTGGAAGCTGAATATCCACTCCGACAAGGAACGTTGTGCCAGAGAGGCCTCTGTGCTTCTAACCAGAAGCTGCTGACAGACCAGGGAGGAAACTCCAGGATGAAACTCGAGATGCCAGGGGCCTGCAACTCCTGTTGGCTCCCCACACCTTGACACAAGGCACTGTGCGGCGTTTCCCGTCCCTCCACACTAGGCTGTCCCCTGGCCTAGACTGCCAGCTGAGCTGGAGAGCATGATGGCGGGGGTTCAAAGGCTGCCTGAGCCCTTTAAGAGCTGCATCTAATGCAGCACAGCATCACTCACACTCTCCTGACTCCAGAGGCTGGGAACAGAGCCCACCACCCCCACTGGGAGGCAAGGACAGGCTCCTCCTGGGTAGAGAAGTCTGTCGTCACTGAGCAGAAACAGCACCCAGGGAAGCATCAAGAGCAGGACTACAAAGTCATAGGGGTGCTCCCATGGTTCACATGGCCCGAGCACCATGCCGGCCAGAGCTCACTGACCTGCCAGGGACACCGCCAGCTCAGTGAACGGGATTCTGGGCTCAATGTCTGACACCTTCAGCGCCGGCAGACATGAGGCATCCTGAGCTTTGCTTTGCTGAGTCTGTAATTCTAAACCTAGGAGGAAGAAGGGGAGGAAATGTATGAACATTTAGGAAGATAATAACCGAAAGGTCTTTTGTAATTCATCTCTTCTGCCGCTAACTCGCACCCACCCATGCTGAGTGCTGGGGTGTGAGCACTGCCAGGCCAAAGTGAAGCGGAAGCATAAGCACTGCAGGTGGCTCTTCCCTAATCTTCACTCTCAATGACCTAGAGCAGCGATTTTCAACCTTGTTCATCTCACGGCACATAAACTAATTACTAAAACTCTGCAGCATGCAAAATTTTTTGCTCATCTGATAAAAAAAAAATAGGTATAATTTCAATTCATTCACACCAGACAGCTATTGTTGTGTTGGTTACCACTTTTTTATTTGACAACCTAAGGGAAAAGAGGTCAGTGCCCCTGACTAAACAGTCAGGTATTGCATGTGTGTGCTAAAAATTATTGCGGCACACGGGTTGAAAATCACTGCTCTAAAGGAACCATTGTGCTGGTGGGGGTGGGACTTTGCTCAGACAGTTCCCTGACTCCCAGGTTTTATGCTAGATAGATGGACTGAACTCATTTTTAGAGCTTTCAAACTACTGTTCCATCGCATACCCTTTCCCAACTATAAACATGCTCAAAACACATGCTCTGGGCCTGCCTGCCCCTGGTCTGATTGGAGGGGAGAGGCTCCCCTTCCCCAGAGTCTGCACAGACCACTGACTGTCGGGAGGGAACCAAAGGGCTCCGTGCGTGACCAAGGACAGAGCGGAGTAGTGCACGTGTGAACAGCCCGCACAATCTGTCAAACACACATTGCATCATGTCACAAGATAACCGATCCCCTGTTGTCGCTGAGCTGCCCTGACCTCCAGGTCCACCTCCCTGAAGTTGCCAGAGAGCCAGTGACCACAACACTGGCCCCTGACAGAGGTGGGTTTCTGGACAGCTTGTTACAGGCTCTGCTAGGGTTGGGTCCCAGGTCCAAGTACAGGCTGACCCACCTCCCCTCGCAGGCCCGTCCCCAGCTCATCCCACAGCACCAGGGGGATGTGGCTCCATGCACCTTACACTCAAACCTCTTGGATATCCAAGGCCCTCCTCACCTGGTTTGTCACCCCCACCCCAATCAACCAAGTCACCCAACCCCTTGACCCTCAGACATTCTCTATTTCTGTGCATTTGGGCTGAAGGTCTTTTGCCTCTTTGCCTGACAGTCCTTTGAAACAGTTCAAAGGCCCACCTCCTTTGTCTTCTGAAACATCCACTGCTACTTTCTGAATGCACAGAAACCGTTGGCATCGTCTCATCTGCTCCCAGGTAAACTCCCTCCCAAAGGCAGGGGCTACGGCCCTTCATAGTACTTAATATGTTACATTATAGACACCCCTAAACTGGAAGGTTATTTAGAGTGGTTTTTTTAAAATATATTTTATTGATTTTTTACAGAGAAGAAGGGAGAGGGATACAGAGTTAGAAACATCTATCAGCTGCCTCCTGAATACCCCCTACTGGGGATGTGCCCACAACCAAGGTACATGCCTTTGACTGGAATCGAACCTGAGATCCTTCAGTCCACAGGCTGACGCACTATCCACTGAGCCAAACTGGTCAGGGCTATTTAGAGTTTTAAATCAGATAATTTCCCATTCTCATTTTCCCTTGGTGCTTATCTTTAAACTGGACTTTGCTTCCTCATGCTGAAGTACACATGTAAGACTGAGACGAAATAACCACTAAATGCACTAGCACTGTGTTCTACTTAATGAACGATGCAGTGATCTGTAAAATAAAAGCACACCTTTGTAATACAGGCCCCCATTCATTCACACACAGGTGTGCACTGGAGTAACTATTTCCTTAAAACAGCACACACCTCCACGACCAGGCCAGGAATCTGATCACTCAGGGAGTGTATATTCCGTTGCTTAGGCATGCATTACCTCCTGTACAAATGTCCTTAAGTAAAAATGGAAGATGTTTGTTTCCATATCTTGGCTATTGTAAATAATGCTTTCAATACAGAGGTGCATATGTCTTTACAAATTAGTGTTTTCATTTTCTTTGGGTAAATACCCAGAAAACGACTGGATTACATGATAGATCTATTCTTAATCTTTTAAGGAACCTCCATACTGTTTTCCACTGTGGCTTCACCGATTTAATTGTCATTTGCAACAGCATGGATGTGTTGGAGAGCATTATACTAAGCGAAGTAAGTCAGAGAAAAACAAAAACCATATGATTTCACTCATATGTGGAATATAAAACAAGAAAGCAACAAACTAACACACACAAAAAACAAACAAAGAAACACCCATAGACACAGACAACACAACAGTGGTTACCAAGAAAGGAGTGTGAGAAGACGAAGTGGGTTAGGGGTCAAATACACTGTAATGAATGGAAACTAGACATTCGGTGGTGAGCACAAATACACAGAGTACATAGATGTCAAATTATAATGGTGCATATCTGAAATTTATATAATCTTACTTACAGCAAAAACAAAACAAAACAAAAACCCCACCAACAGTACAATGAAAAATGGATGGGACTCAATCAAACTCAAAACATTTTGCGCAGCAAAAGAAACCATCAACTAAATGAAAAAGCAACATAGGGAATGGGAGAAAATATTTGTAAATCATATATCTGTTAAAGAGTTTCACATCCAAACTATAAAGAATTTATAAAATTCAATAGCAAAAAATGGGCAGAGGACTTGAATAGACATTTTTCTAAAGAGCATGAACAGATGAGATGGCCAACAGACATGAAAAGATGCTCAACATCACTAATCATCAGGGAATCGCAAATAAAAACCACAGTGAGATGCCATATTATACCCATTAGGATAACTACTAAAAAAAAAACCTAGAAAATAATCTGTGCTGGTGAGGATATCTCGTGCCCCATTGGTGGGATTGTAAATTGGTACAGCCGCAATAGAAAATAGTATAGAGGTTCCTCAAAAATTAAAAATGGAACTATCATATGAGCCAGCAATTCACTTCTGGGTATTCATTTGAAGAAAATAAAAACACTAATTCTAAAAGAGATATACACCCCTATTTTCATTGCAGCATTCTTTATAATAGCCAAGGTATGAAAGCAATCTAAGTGTCCATCCATGGAAAAATGGATAAAGATGTGAGAAATATATACAACAGAATATTGCTTGGCCATCTATAATAATAAAAGTGTAATATGCAAATCAGCCGAACGACCAAACAGCAGAACGACCGTCTGGACGACCATGCTATGACATGTACTGGTGCCAGGCCAGCCAAGGCGGGTGTGATGCAATTGGTGGGGGAGCCCCACCATCACCCCAAATAGGAAGGAAGGCCCAGGCTACCCAGCCGGCAGTGCTGCAGCAGGTGGGCAGGGCCTCCCTCTGCAGAGCCATAGATTGCGGAGCCCCACGATCGATCGCCCCGCAGACGGAGGCTCAGGCCAGCAATCGCTCCGCAGAGGGAGGCCCAGGCCAGCCACGCGATTGCACCCCACGCCTGTTGCCCACAGAGGGAGGCAACCGGTGGTGGGGGGGAGGGGGAGCAGCGCCACATAGATGGCAAGCAGTGGCAGCAGCAGGGTTGGGGCCAGCTGCAGGCAGCTGGGGGAAGGAAAGCCCCGATAGGCCCTGATCGCTGGCCAGACCTAGGGACCCTACCCAAGGGGTCCCGGATTGCGAGAGGGTGCAGGCCGGGCTGTGGGACACCCCCGCCCCCACCATGCATAATTTTTGTGCACCGGGCCTCTAGTAAAAGAATGAAATGTGCCATTTGTGACAGCATGGGTGGGCCTAGAGGGTGTTATGCTAAGTGAAATAAGTCAGAGAAAGACAAATACCATATTTCACTTATATGTGGATCTAAAAAAGAAAAATAAATAAAGAAATAAAATAGAAACAAACTCATAGGTACAGAGAAAGTTTGATAGTCATCAGATGGGAGGGGGATTCAGGCGATGGAAGAAAAAGGTATTAAAAAGTACCAATTGCCAGTTATAAAAACGGTCACTGGGATGTAAAGTACAGTGTAGGGAATACAGTTAATAATACTGTTATAACTGTATGGTGCCAGGTGGATACTAGATATATCACTTTGAAAGGTATATAAATGCCTAACTACTCTGTTAGACTCCTGAAACTCAATTATAGAGTTAACTATAATTGAAAAATAAATTTAAAAAATAATTTTAAAAATTATTAATGAAAACATGATATCTACACTAATAAAAGAGAAACATGGTAATTAGCGTACGACCACTACCCTTCCCATTGGCTAATCAGCATATCCTTATGCAAATTAACTGTCAGCCAAGATGGCGGCCGGCAGCCATGCACTGAAGCGA